GCTCTGAACACGGCGGCCCTCTCTCGACGGCGACCGAGCTCAGCCCCAACCGCACCATCCCCAAGATTTGACGACCGACGACCGCGCCTCCTCTTTCCGGTAGCCCCGAGTGCTACCGAGGTACTTGGCTTTACTCCTCTTGATTCGATTATTTGTTATCGCTTGTTGCCGGTATTAAGATTGTGCTATCATTATTCTTAAACTTGTTGGCGATTGGGATTTCGAAATACATTATTGTTGCTTGTGCCTTGGATATTGTTGTGTTTGGTTGGAACACGCCTTGTCGGGTGTGTTCAAGGTGATTTTTTAGGTATTCTATCGATCAATCGTTCCAACCAACCGTGTCATCATGGGCAAGAGAAAGGCCACCCCCGCTCCGAAGAAAACCGTACCGAACAAAGCATCGAAAGGCAAGGGGGTAGCCGTTGTGGCATCGGTTTCGGAGTCCGAAAGCGAAAGAGAGAGGTCTCCCCCTCCAATGTTTATTTACGACCATAGTATGGGGTTGCCATTCAAGGTCCAAACCTCTACCGAGAGAGAAATTTGCTTGAAACTCCAACATGCCCGCGTACGACGGCCCAAAGTGATGGACTTCGACCTATATGCAAAGCTCGGCATCAAAGATGACATTATCAAATATCTCAAAGTCCTTGGGTTGTTAAAGTATGCCGAGATGGATCATAGTGCCTACACAAATGAGGTACTCGAGTTCTACACTTTCTTTCAACTTGTGGATAACCGGGAAGTCGTGACATGCCGACTGGGCGGGGTGCCCCGCCGGATAGATGCGGCTATCATGAAACAAGCATTAGGATTTACGGGTGTGGGTTTAACGGGACCACCGGAGGGTTTTGATGTCAATGAAGCGTGGCGCAAATTATCGAGTTTCCCTCCTAGGCGGAATGGTGAGTTGTTTACGGGGCACATCCGGGACCATGCTCTATGTGTAGTTCACAAATACATCTCCTATAATGTGTTTGGGAAGAAAGAGGCCTCAAAAGTAAATAAGCTTGAAATCTTCATGCTACATTGTGCCCTCCACAACAAGCGAGTGAATCCCGCCCCATTCATTTGGAGCACTATCGATCAAATTAAGTGTGCCAACCAGTTTTACCCTACATTAGGCACCCTTATCTCGGTGTTGGCCTTACATTTTGGGATAGATTTGGCATCCGACAAGGTGGCGACCCAACCAATTGGATCCACGGAGCTCAAGGCGGCGCAAATCATACTAAATGAGACAACCTTGTGCCCTCACGCGGATCGGACGTGCGTGCAATCGTATTTTGACAACACGGGGCGTAAAGGACAAGTTCCCGGGACATCTACCGGCCACCGGCCGCCTATTGACCTTCCCCCATACGAGCACCCGATGGCCGCCGTGACGAAGACGCTTGGTGAGCTCCGACTTTTCATGACCGATGAGTTTGCTCGATTAGGGACCCGGATGGATGATCATATGAGTGATGTGAAGGCTCGGTTGGACACCATGGATGGCCGTATTACTTCTCTTGATACTCGGTTCTCGACATATATTGATTCTCGGATTGTTGAGCCCACTTCTCTCCCGGCTAGTCATATTGAGGAGCCCGGCTCCTCTTCTCTTCCTCCGGATGACACGATGATGGACACACGGTGATTGTTCACCGTGTAGAGTACGCGTTTTCTTTTTCCCTTTTTCTTTTTCTCTTCATTTATTTTATTCTTGTGTGATGTGCTTTGTGTCCTTTTTCTTTTTCTTTCTTTTTATTTTCTTCGTATTTTTCTATCGTTTAATCTTGTATGACATGACTTCCTTCCTTCTCATTTTTCTTAAGCAATGGGGACATTGCTTTGTTTGAAGTGAGGGGGGAGGATTTCGTGGTTTTCGTGGTTTAGATGATTGCTTTTGATGTGCCTTTGTGATTTTCTTTTGTCGAGTTCTTTGTTAGGTTGTTTAGTTTTGTTTTGGACCGGTTGTTTAGGATGATTTTGTTGATTGTGTCAAATTTTCCCACATGAGGCTTAATGCTTGTCTTATAGTTTGGAATAGCGTAGTGGCTAGTTTGGATTGTCGATCGTTTTCACTACTAACTCTCATGCTTTATGTGCTCGAGGATTTTGACGGTTTTCATAAAATGAGATGATTATTTGTTGACATTGGAACTTGCATTCGGATTCACGAATTTCCTTGTCCTTTGTTCGTTCTTGATTGATGATCTTGATCATGCTTACCTTGTGTTCGCTCATGTGTAAACGTGTTATGCTATGCATTCCAGTTATGTACCTATTGAATTGATATGATTATGCATTGTATGTTATGTGCTCGTATGTGCCACCCCCTAAAAAAAAGGGTTGAATATATGTGGGCTCGCGAGGAAGTACGGATTAGGCTCCTCTTATCTCGAACCACCTCGTGGAACGGGATAATGGGCCCGGGAAACCGGTCTAGGGAACTCGAGGAAACCCCTCGAGGTCGCACCTAGATAAGCAATATCCGGAAACCCCGTTTGGAAAAAGAAAGCCTATAAAAAAGATAATAAAAAAAAATATAAATAAATAAATAAATAAATAAATAAATAAAATAAGAATGATGAGTTCGTGGGAGTTGGACGGATTAGACTCCTCTTGACATGGTTAGTCTTTATCGAGACAATCCGAGTCAACGAGTACGGGAAACCGACTTAGGAAACTCGAGGATACACCTCGAGGGTAAACCTAAGTAATAATCGTCCCGACAATTCTCATTGGGAAAAAGTTACTCATTTTAGTATGGGGAGTTGGATATTGGTCTTGTTTTATTGTTTTGTACATTGAGAGGACCGTTATTTTGCTTTTTGCACGTATTTGTTAGAAAGGATAGTTTGATTTGAGTAATTCATGATTGAGCAACTTGGGACATGTTTTTGTTTTGTGGATTTGTATGTGGGAACCATGTTTTCGGATTTGAGTCGAATCTTGTGAATAACCGAATGATTAGGAGAGTTACATAATGCGTGGTTGTTAGTTTTTGAACCGCTCGATCTCTTCTCTCGAATCACTCGTTGTTTTATTTGCTTGAGGACAAGCAAAGAGCTAAGTGTGGGGGAGTTGTTTATTGTGTTTTTTTGTTTATTTTTATATGATTGTGTGTGCTTTCGAGTTGATTCTAGGCTTATTTTAGTGTCGACCGGTCCATTTTGGCGCTTATCGTGTGTTTTTATGTTTTGTTGTTTGTTTCATATTTTGGCGTACTTTCCTGTACTTTTGCTATGAATTTCAGGTTTATTCCGGGATAGAGATGGAGAGTCGAGCCATGTTCCGAGAGAGTCGAGTCACGCTCCAAGCAATGAGCATTTCCCGTAAGAGTCGAGTTTCCGAGTAGTTTCAAGCCATT